ATTGTTGGGTTTTCAGAGTTTGTTGACCTTTTAGCATAAATGGAGTTGTCTGATTGTCCTGGTAAGAAGGCACTACCTACTTGTAACTTTTCACGCCCAGACGATCAGACTACACAACCATATCTTGCCCCAAGTTTAAACTATATATTGTACTATCTTTTTTTGCTTCATTGATTGATACGCTTTTACATAAGTACGACATTTAGAATTCGAAGAAATGTATTAGGTTTAGGTGTGTGAGGTGCAGGTGATATGTAGGTCTCCAGAATCAAACTATCAAAACGTAATCGCTAGTTGTAAAATATTGAGTTTTTTACCGACAACCCAGAATTTAGAGAGACAAATTAAATAAGTCGTCGATGCTGATCTCAAACTTCGCGTATAGAAAGCCTGGCTTAAGATTTCCTTAGGTATATGTATCCAGGATATTGAGTTGCTTCGGTAATGAAAGATACTCTGGCGAAAAAAAAAAGCAAACAAACAAGGACAAAACAGAACTAATATCGTCCATTATTCTAAAATGATTCGATATATCCCAAGGGGCTCTTTCCTCGCAAATTTTGGCAACTTCGCGGGTTATATTCTAAGATCTTAATCTAAGGAGTAGTATAGCGGGTATTCGCTAAAAACTCAGCCCGTTCTGTTTCGTTTTCATAAATTTTTTATTGTTTGAATTTCAAAGCTATTGATATCTGAGAAACGGCATTTTCGGACCAATGACTACCGGAACTTTCAATAAATGGGCTCCTGAGCAAACAAAAAGACTACATTTGTAAACTAGAAGGTAAAATTTTGCATTTACCAGTGTACAACTTCGCGTTTATGAGAAACGATGAGAAATTCAGCGTGATGTCTTCGCTTATTTTGGGTTGGGTGCTGAATTGAATCATTTTATACAGCACAAAACTATGAGTAACGAATGATCCTATAAATTAGCTTTATGAAGAATACCGCATGCTTTCAGTAAGTTTCTTGTTCATGATTTTTTTTAAAAAGCTGTAATCTCAAATAAATTTACGAGTTCCACCGTATTCTTGAATTGAACCTTTCAGTCACGTGGTCGTCGTAAAATAGAAATAGTATTGGGGGCATGAAGCCATGCTTGTAAAGGGGTACCATAAACTCCTCAAAATTTATATCTAAATCATCCGAAGCTCCAAACTGGCTCTGGGAGTTAAGAAATAGAAATTGAGGAGCTCATGAGATAAATCTTCGGGTCAGGCCACGCTCAGACGCTCTATCACTTGGCTTACAGTCAGCTTAGTCAGGCTGTTACTGAACTTATATGTGACACACATCCCGCGGTCTGCTAGGAGCAACAGTGTCGAAAGCTTCGTGTGATTTAATATTGTAAGAAAGATGTTGGGTCCAATTTTGTTTCTTCGTCCACTCTCGTAACACTGGAGGCGAAAAACATCTTTCCTCATTTTACTACCCAGCTGAAGATTCATCGACTTTGTTGATCCTAGCAGTATAAAGTAGTGACTTAGCTCACCTTGGAGTCTCTACGGCTCAGTTGCAGAGCATCAGGGCGCGAAGGTCTCAGTTTCGACTCTTCATGACTTGGCGTTTTTCTTTGTCCCATGCTTGTGATCGAATCAAAAAAAGAAAACTTTACTCATGTACTTATTCAAAAAAAAAATTAATAAAAAACAAGAGATTTCCAGATTAGAGGGTGTACAATACTGCAACAACTCATTGAGAGTTATATATTTCTTTATTTTCTGATATCAATATAATTTTTTTGGGGAAACTTTTTCTGGTTGCTTAAACCGTGCAAACAAAGAAATTGCGGTGCATTGCTGAAAATGTCAGGCTTGTTGGTTTATGTTGGGGTGAAAATCATGCGATTTTGGATGTTTATTATTTGCGGTGACTGGCCTGTTATGAAACCGTAACCATTACGCTATTATCTCCGTAAGTAAATATGTTAGTAAGTAAGCAAGCAAATAAGCACGTAAGTAAGTTAAAAAGTAAGAAAGTAAGTAAAAAGAAAGTGTGCGACTTTTCGAAAGCTTTTGAAGCAATCTAAAGAGGGAGACCGAAAACTCCTCGGGAATTACTAATACCGCGTAGTCTCGCTGAATTCGAAAGTTGTCTCGCTAAATTCGAATTCTTCGCTGGTGGTGCAAAGCGGAGGGCTAAAGGCGACATAAGGATGAGAAATAGGTTATTACTGTAAAGTCGATGATAATTACTTCGGTAACCATTTCTGAAAACTTTCGATTTCGTTCTTCATTCCCTTCTTTTTTCTTTTTTAACCGTAAGGCCTCGTATCCTTCAATGAAGTGAAAAAACTAGGAAAACAATGGTAACTAAAATTAATATGAAGTCTCCCTGGAAAACACTCGAAAATTAGGTCAAGCACAATGCATGTAAAAAAAAAATCAGTTTAAATAGTTATGAATAACATTTCACGGAAAGAGGGAATTGGTTTTTCTCAACCGAAAGCATTCGGTCGATATTCAGGGAAAGTTGGCCGTTTTCTTGCGTTATTAAAAGAAGCATAAACTTAAAATTTTTGTCAATTTTTGTAGGTGTTCGACACAAACAAAGGCTTTTTAGATGTTGAGGGCTCTCGTCGAGAACCTGACCACCTTCGCGGGCATCCTTCGGGAAAAAAATTCCTTTGCGCGCTAGTTCCACTAAAATCCTAGCAAACTATGCATCAAAAGAAAGCTTAATAAATGCAGTTTACGATAAAAATATAATTTAGGCGACTTTTCTTTAAGGAAGTGTCAGGAGCCGGTAAGGCGTGAAACGACCGAAGGTTCTTCAACTGAATTTATCGGGTATCGAATGCCGCAGCACGAGCAATATGGCTGCATAGTCTTATTCACAAGGCATCAGTCAATAAATAGTGTCAGGCTTTTTTAGATACGATATCTGCATCTAAAATTGGAGTAGCTAAAAATATGGGACGCGTGTTGCGTAAATGGACGCAACGAGACAACTCATCACGAGCCTCAGGTAAACGGAAGTTCAAATATTCGAGCTGGTTGGTATGGTGTAACGTCATAAACCGGCTACGTTCCATCATCGCCTTGACAGCTTGTATTGATAATTGCTTACAGTTCCTTTGCAACGACTGTGACAACGAATACATCGGACAGACCAAACGTCAGTTTGGGACACGTTTGAAAGAGCATCAAGAAGCGGTTTTCTTTTTCAAAAAAGAAAATCCAGGTTTATCGGAGTACACATGCCTAACTAACCACACAATTGAATGGGATAAGTCTAAAATTATCACCACTAATCGGCGTTACCACCAGCACCATTGATTGGCATATTAACTCCGCCCACGCTCCTTTAAATCGTGATGATGGCGGCTTACTTCCTGACGCCAATTAACACCTCGTCAGAAAAAAGGCAGCTAATTAGTGATCGTATAAAAGGACCTCTTGTTGCAGCCTTTAGATCACCCCTAATGAAGGCACTAGACAGGAGTGTCGGAACGTTGGGTCTATGAATTGTAACTTCTTCGGTTACATTCATTAAATCTGTAAACCAGAGTAGCATCAAACCATGTCTGTTTACAGTAATCTGAGTAATTGCTTTATTTTGTACAATATCTCTATTCCTGCATGTTTTTTTTAAGGGGCTGGATCGGCCTATTGACATTTCGAGATTGGATTTGATGTTAATACGCTTAGGCAAAAGCGGGAAAGTTTAGTTTCCCACGGTCGATTGCACTTATGCATCCCTTCGAACTTCGAAGGGTTGAATTGCTGCACTCTCCTTCTACAGATGAGGCAAGGCAAGGGTTTATCTTAAGTTTCAAGGTATGTGACGTAAGGGTCAGCAAATTTTTTTCAAGTTGCCCGTTAGTGGCACATTTTCCAAGCGAGTTTTTTACGGTCCAGCTATCGGATTTGAAAAATGGTGGGAGCTTGGATGGCCGATATGTTCAGAACAACGCAGTGGCCATCGCCTCTCTATTTGGAGTTGTTTCTGCCATCCTCCAGTAGAAATTCAAAGAAGGAGAATTGGCGAAATATCGTTGGTTGATCGATAAAATAATTCACTTTAAATCAGAACTAAGGCTAGCAGGACTCGACCAAGTGATGACTTTCGTGAGGAGCTGAAAGATGCTCATGATACCTTCGCAGCTATCGGAATTAAAAATGATCGACTAAAAGCTGAGCTCATCAAGCGCAGAGTCAGCTAGAATCCCTATTAGAAGAAATAAAAAAAATCAGTCAGGTTAGACAAACATCAGAGTTAAACAAAATTAAGGAGAAGGATGAGAAGGTCACCAAGGATGTGTGGACATCGATCAGCGATGTTTGCGACAGATTTCAGGTCCATCTCGCTGATGTAGGCGCAAGTCAGGTCCACAGTCCTGAGGTGGGGCGAATGCTCAGTGACATCGCTTAGAAAATTAGAATTAACAGCAGCAGCCCGCTGCAAGCGTTGGAAACAATGCTGGGATACAGTGGCCCTCAGTTTTTGCAATCTCTCAGAGTACCAGACTGGACCCCGCTGTATTTCAAACTGCAGTCGAGGATCCCGGACCAAGCCTGGCAAACGTTACTTAGCATTTGCAAGTTAGGACGAACCGGCGTAAGTCATAACGATTATATTTTTATTAAGATTGGAAAAAGTGTATTTGCTGTCTTATATTTTGTTGTGACTATTAATTTTAATTAATTAATTAATTTTTGAGCAAGTCACCTCATGCCTAAAAGACAAGGAAAACTAGTGAGTTGCAACAATTTTTTAGAAATTTTACAATGTCACATTTTTTGCTCTATAGGGAAAATGTGGAGGCCCTAATAAAAGATATAAATCGCCAGAAGGATGCCATCAAGAAAACGGGAATAGCGGTTGATGGAAGATGCTTTAAAGTTAAATTTACAGGTTATTTATGTCTTCCAATCTTGACCCTTTATACTTTTTTTACCTTATTATTATTATTTTTTGCAATGTTTTTATGTTACATGTCTAGCCATGTTATAGTATTATTGAATCTATTTTATGCTTGGCAGTGTTAAAAAATATCTAGAAAAGTGGTGTTTAATATAAAGTCTACCATTTGAGATCTGTGGTATAGCTATTTAAACTTCAACTTGATATTATCTTCTTGTCTTTTTTTGTGACAGTTACTCTTGATTACAAAGCATTGATAACGCTACTCAAGCGAAAAGGTTGTGGTGCCGACAAATATATCGATAACCTTTTCAACCGACGATTGGACACAGAGCGCTGTGGATTCTGCAAAGTTATTAGAGTAGGTTATACCTGAAATTGCTAAATGACATGCATCATAGCAGAATTCTACAATAACACAAAACATATTCAGGTGACCGGTATTTGTGATGAGTTTTTCTACAGTGAGTGGGAGCTTTCTTTGTGTTGACTTTATGGAAAGGCAGAAATTTGTCCATAAAAATGAACATATTTTATCTTTGGTGAACAGTGATTAGATATAATTTATATTATAAATTTCCTCCTTAAAGTTTTATCTATAATTTAGTCTCTTCGCAAAATTCATCGACCAGTTTAGTTTCGTTGCCTTCGTCTGGAGGGAATTCGTTTTGACTTGTTCCCCTTACACTACTTTGTTTTCTGAGAAATAAGGCTTGAAAGCTTTGACGGTATGGCCGCATTCTCCAGGCATACAACAACGGGTTTAGGGCAGAGTTACTGTACAGAATCGGGATGGACAGTCGATAACCTGCAATGCACCATTTTTGATGAACACACTCTTTGCAGTAACGCCGGATGGTGGTGAATAACCAAAACGGAACGAGAGAAACGAAGAAGACAAGAATTATCAGACAGGCAGTCGTCATCAGTTGCTTCTGCATCTCAGCCGATCGCCTGGATATTTTTTCTTTTTTGTAGAGTCTTCCATGTCGATATTGCACTATAAAATAAGCAGCCGAGTATGTGAAAATAATCGTGAGAAGTGGTAGGACAAAAATGAGGTAAAGAAACACAACATCGTACAAATCTCGCTCCACTACCAGCTCCAGACAGCTTGTAACAATGGCTAACATCCAACTCAGCACACAACAGAGGATGGTTTTTGGGATGGTCAAGGAGTTACGATAAACGTACGGGAAGGCAATAGCTATGAACCGTTCAACCGCAAAAATGATCATGATACAAACACTCGCGCGCACGGTTATCTGCGAAACGATCTTGGCCTGAAGCATAACTTTTCCCACTTCCATTCCTTCCAGAATATGTGCTATTCCAACGTCCACGGCGGTTACACATCCCGTTAGAAAGTCTGCTATGCCCAGAGAGACCACAAGAACTGCGGTGGCGTTGCGAAATTTCCTCAGCGGGTCTTTGTAGATCATGAACAGGAGGATGCCATTGGAGATCGATATCAACAACGCGAAAAAGAGTAGTATGCCTCCGTTGATAATAAAGACATGGGACTTGAAGTCTTCATTGCCTTGATTAAGGGTGGCAGTCATCCTTACCAAAGTAGTGGACGAAATGGTAGAGACCTTTCTATTCAGCGACAAGCGACAACTGACGTTAAATGCGGAAATTCAATGTATACTAATTGCTTGTGGTTTTCATGAGCCCTTTCGTTCGTTCAAATGGAATTCAAAAGTTGCTATCAGTTTCAAATATCAAATTTCCCGACACACCTTCGTTTGTCATTATTCCTAGAATGTTTTGGGGAAATCTGACGAAAATCGGTCAAATCTCCATACCCTATTAATTTGCTCAAAGTGGTTGTATTCCTTCAAAAATCAAACGCGAGATTTTAGCTCATCTAGGATTCGCAAACAACTCGCGCCACTCCAGAAGATTATCTCGCCTCCTGAAACCGCAAACCGATGGGACGGGACCTCCTGGCGTTAATGACGGTGGATTAACGTCATACGACAACAGGATATTGTGGTTTCTAAAAGTATGTCTTCTGTTAACCCTTAGATCACAAAAGCGGAAAATGAAACTTTACCACCGGAAAGATAGACAGACAGACAGACGTAAAAGACTGCTGGCACTATCGATCTACCTAATCTGTCAAGACCTCTGAGATTTATGGCTTTCATCATATGAAAATCATGTGTGCACTGCGGTTGAAGAAACGAATATAGAATCGAACCTCGAAGTTATGAACATTACTGAACTAGTAGTTGAAATAAGGCTTAAAAAAAATCGTGACCTTTGCGATACCGGTGCAAAGCTCTACCAACTGAGCTAACAAACCTCTGAGATTGTTTGGAGGTTATCGCAAGTTTTCCGAGTGATGAAAACTTCAAAAACCAATTAAAACCGGTCGAATTAGACTGGTTTTTCTTAAAGTGTGTCTTCTGTTAAACTTTATCTTTTGGTAAAAGAGATCACAAAACATAAGCGAAAAAAGAATCCTACAAAACATTAAATGAAAACTGATTCCATTGCAGAAGTAGGTCTTCCACTCTGTTATACCCACAAAAGCATCCACGGGGCTTCTCCGTTTAAATATGAAAGTCTAATTAACCGTGACGTCAACATGAAGTGAAGTCTTAAAGTGTGTCTTCTGTTAAACTTTATCTTTTGATAAAATAGATCACAAAACATAAGCGAAAAAGGAATCCTACAAAATATTTAACGAAAGCTGATCCCACCGAAGAAGTAGGTCTTCCGCTCTGTTATACCCACATAAACATTCGCGGGGCTTCCCCGTTTAAACATGAAAGTCTAATTAACCGGGACGTGAACATGAACCGAGCCAAAACCCAGCCGGTATTTCAATTGTTCGTCAAATTATTCGTAGCCCGCTCTCCAGTGCTGGTACCTACATCAACCAGATGAAGAAACGCAATTTGGAAAGGCTATAGGGCTAAGTAATGGAAATCTCATTAACATCATGGACGATATACTTGTTCGCTTAAACAAGACTCAACCTTGCACCGTCTTCGATGAAAGTTTCTTGAGCAGAAATCACGATCGTAATAAACAATAGTTATACAAAATGGTTTATAGAACATTGCTACCTCTCGATCGAACAGTGCACAGTGTGTACATAGAATAAAGACATAAAATTTCGTCTGTTTTGCTAACTTCGTTTGCTACATTGGTCGAGAAAATCGCAGGGCTAAAAGTTAACTTAGGACGAGAAATAGAAGAGTAGTGTAATGTCCAATTTTATTACAGATTCACTCTAGTAGATTACAAATAGACAATAAATTTTAGTATATTATTACTACAATAAAGGAAACAACCAAAAGCAGTGAGGTCCTGTGTGTCATTTTTCCTCAAGTTATAATTTATATTTCTGTCCTTACAAAATAGGAGCTTGTTTGAAATAGCTGTATTATTAATGTCCACTAATTAATTACATTGAACAAAACTGTAACATCTCTTATGAACCTCCTTCCAGATAATGAAAGCAATTTTAACTTAGATAATCTAGTATCATAATGATCATCAGACTTATAGTGATCCATCTGATGGCTCTTCGCTGGACAGCCTCTAGTTTATCAATGTTGCATTCAGTATATGGGTTTCAAGTTTTGCATGAATATTATAATAAAGGTCTCACAAGAGTAAAGTGTTTTTCACAGTATCAATGTCATTTAAGTCTCTACAAGTCCCTTCAAACAGCCCTAAACCCTATTAACCTTAGTTATTTTATCCACATGTTAGTTACATGAAAGATTACAAGCAGTAAACAATCCTAAATCTTTATACACACTAATACTTTCCAAAGGTTGACCTACCATATTATATTCCCCAATTAAAGGTGACTTTTCCCTAGTTAGTCGCATTGTCATCTTATTCATATTAGACCATTCTGATATTTTATCTGCATGTGTCACTTTGAAAACTAGTCAGATCTTCTTGGGTATTGATAAGCCTCAGTGGTGGATCCAGACCTTGAGTAAAAGGAAAGCCGGTTTTTTTGTCCCTTGCCTTGTCAGCTTTTCTTCTTTTGGCTATTTTTTGTTCACCCAAAATATGAGAAGGCCCAAGCCCCCTTAGCCCCTCCCCTAGATCCGCCACTGAGCCTGTAAATTTTACTGTCGTCAGCTTACAGACCAATTGAACTGTCCTTACTAATTACCCCCCGGTAAATTATTAATATATACTATGAAGAATAATGGTCCCAATAAGGAACCTCGTGGAACATCAGAGGTCACGTTCAACCGATCAGAAGCCTCTTCTTTCACTACTACACGCTGTTGACCTTCTGTTAGAGAACCTCTACACCAGTTCAACTAGCCTCTGTCGACACCATATTTGCAAAGCTTGGCTAAGAGGATATCATTCCATTCTCATCATCATGGAAATCAGCTGACATTACACCTATTCATAAGGATGGTTACCAAGAGCCAGTTGAAAATTACAGAGAAGAGAGAAGTTGATGTAGTATTTAGAGACTTTTCAAAGCGATCGTGAATGTTGGTTTGCTCTTCGCACTGAGTTGTATGTGCTTAGCAGAAGACATGATAAATACTCTTGATGACTGTGATCTACCAGAGAAAGTTGTCAATATGACTAATTTGCAGGAACATATTGATGTTACGGTGTCAATAAAAGTACAACAATTCAGATCTCGTCATGAAAAGTATGTATATTATAATTATACTCGTGTTTTGTGTGAATGCCATGCTATAACCATGATCGTGGACCAAGCAGAGTACCATTAAAGATGTTAAAACGTCTCTCTCAGAATATTAGAAAACTGCAGAGTTAGGTACGGATCCGTTTGAGTAAAAACGTACAATAGTCATCGTAAGTCCATGATCTTATTAAAAATAATGCAACACGAGAGAAAATTACACATAAAACAAGAGCCAGGTTTGTACAAAAAAATGAGAAGGAAACCAAATTTTAGGACAAGAAACGTTAACTCTTCAATGAGATATGTCTACAATTCAAGTAGAGATAAACATGGAAAGAAATATCTCAAATACTTAAGGTTCTTTTCGTGCAATTTCCCTTACAGTGAGTGCAAGGGTGTAATTCGCAGAAGCAATTGTACAAAGAACAAGTTCTATAATGATATGGATAAAAACCCTGGTCCTGGTATGCACCATGTGGATCCCAGTAAAACAATAAAAGCACCATATAGTCAAGGGGATGTTGTTGTATTTGGACAAAATGCAAGCAAAAATGTGTTGAAATGAGTTTATGTGCATTAATTTACCACAACATGAAAGGAATAGGCAATCCCGATGACTTGAAACAAATATTGCATAGTGGAAATAAACTATATCGCAGTTTGTTACAATTATCAAGATACAAAAGTAAAGCAATTGTCTCCTCTTCTGATATATGAAGACATTCGTTCACCTGCAATGAAACAGACAAAACACATTCGAGGTGTGAATAATCTAGTAGAGGAAATTAATAATATTATTAAAGAAAAAGAAAGGAATGTCAGACTATGGAATATGATATACAATTCATTTGCTTTTCATGTAAAATTACTGAAATTGAAAGGAAACGCATCGTGAGAAAACACAGAAAAAAACATATGTATGACAGCATGGAACCTGTTGTCCAAAAAAGATTTCAAGAAGACATTAAAAGAAAATATTCAACTATGGATGCTACAAAGAAGAAAGAGGTACTTTTCCAACGCATTGAGAAATTAGTGAAAGCCAGATCGGTTGAATTGTGTATCAAACAATTTAAGAGGAAAATAAGAGAAGACCCTTACCTATATGTACTGTCTGTAATCGAATACTTTATAAGAAATCAGTTATAACATGCATAAACGAGAAGTATCCTTGCCAAACATATATGAATGTTCAACAGTCATTTGATGGAAAACAATATATATGCAACACATGTCATTAAAAGGTCATAAACGGAAAATTACCATGTCAGGCTGTAGTGAATAAAATGTATGTGGATGAAACAACCACAGAACTATCCTTACTAGAAAAAATAGAACAAATACTAATAACTCAACGAATAGTGTTTGAGAAGATTGGGGTCACGCCTAAAAGACAAAATAGAAAAAATGAAAGGTGCGATATGCAATGTACCTATAGAATGTGATCAGACGTGTTATCAACTCCCTCGTCCAACTGACAGAAAGTTACAATTTAGAGGACAGGTTTATTTTCAAGCAGTACGAACAGAGTTAATACAGCAAGATCTTAACTGGCTCAAAATACATAATCCATTTTACAAAGATATACTAGTTGATATTAACAACATTGATAGCAACCTCACAGCTTTACAAAATGATGCAAACGATAATGCTACACATCAACATGCTACATCAAAAAATGTACCAATAGATAGTGATCCTGCATTGGAGTATGATGCAAGAGAAATGATAAATAATAGTAATGAAGAAGAAAATGATGTCCCCGTAAATAAATGTAGAGCCCCAGTATGCGAGATGTGCTTAGAGTCAATTATACCAAACTATCCAGTAGTGAATGCTCAAGTAAAACCCTCGATACGAAGCCCGTGTGAACGCTCTTCGAGCGTGTAATTAGCATTAAAACGGTTGAGTGGTTTTTTTAACTTCTATTTCCCCTCTCTCTCTTTCTACATTTTCTTTATTTCTTCTCATCCTAATTTCTCTTTCCCTTCTGTCCTGGTCCGTTTGAAGTTGTTCCCTTTCCAATTCACGCTGTTCTCTTTCCTCCCTTTTCGTGTTCATTTGAGTGTTGCTCTGGCAACTCTTTGCACCAATGCAAGAGGACTGTTGTTCGTGGACTTTGAAGACTCAACATTGCAAGGTCTTATGTTCAGTGCAGACAATGCAAACAAAGTTC